TGCCTGGCTAATTTTTCTCTTTTTTGTAGAGACAGGGTCTCGCTCTTCCTCAGGCTGGTCTCGATCGAACTCCTCCTGACCTCAAGCTATCCTTCCGCCTCAGCCCTCCAAAGTGCTAGAATTACAGGTGAGAGCGACCACTCCTGGCCCCATATATTTATTTATTTTTAGACATGAGATCTCACTATGTTGCCTGGGCTGGCCTAGAACCCTTCGGTTCAATGGATCCACTGAAGTGAGCCTCTGAGTGGCTGGGTCTAAAGGCACATGCCACTGCACCCACAAAAATACTATGAAAACAATTTTGAAGGAAGGTGTTGCAAGGATAGGCTGTGGTCCATGTAAGTAGTGACCATGTCCATGACAGCAATTCCTAGCACAGGCAGACACGAACAAATGTAGATAAAGGAGGGAACGAGAATCTGGGACAGACAGGAGGCTTTGATCTGCAGTCACCCAGACATCCAGAAGCAAGCAACATCAGATGTATTAGGGTAACTGCAAGACCCTGACCCTGAATCCTTCCCTGGGAGTCTGCAGGAAAGCAGGTGTTGGGGCTGCTCTACGAGAGGAAATGGCACAACCCACACCCAGTCCTAACAACCATAGAACATACCTAGAGAAGTGAAAAAAAGAAGTTGTGTCGACACTCCTGAAGTGAGAAAGTCTTGCCAATGAGGAAAAAGGAGAAGGGCAGAGACTACCTCAGGTGACAGGGATAAGTGTAAGGGCCTTACCCAGGAACGTTATAAGTGTCAAGTTCTCCAGCATCACGTCACGATACAGGCATCTCTGAGCCTCATTAAGAAGACTCCATTCCTCCCAGGAAAACTTCACAGACACGTCTTCAAAGGTCACACTGTTCTGTTATGATGGGGACATATGAAACCACAAACAGCCCCTGCTTAGGAAACACAATCCATTTCCCCCACATACCTACCCTTCCCCAACCTCCTCCCAGAATACCCAATTTAGAGGAGAAACTTTCCCATTGCTGACACTCTGTCCTCGGGGGCCCACTTATCACAGTGTACGACCATCAGCGACAACAGACAGGTGCACAAACAAGTATCTAACCTGTAGCCCTGACATAAAGAGATCCACACTCTCTTTACCAGCAATTTCTGTGGCACAGAGAAAGTCACATCATCCCAATGGAGTGCCCTAGGGCCATCAGACATACTCCATCTCTACATGCATGAAACAGCCATTCTTGGACACCACAGACACATGTCCATGGCCATTCCCACCTAATTGACCCCCATCATTAGCCTCTCTCTGGCATCCCCTACTTTTCCTTCTACTGATAAGGGTAGTATTCTCACCCTGAGTTACAGTGATGCAAAACACATGGCTCCTGACATTGGAAAGATATCATCATCATCAGCTCGTTAATCAAATATACTGACAGCCTGAGAGACACGGGACACCACTTCCCACACAGGAGTACATGGAGGCTGCACTATGGATATCAGTGAGCAACCAGGGAGTGCTGGATGCAAGCTGTGTAGGATGAGGAGACTGTGATGGTCCCTGATTCCTTTGGGAGGATGCAATTGGCTTGTTTGAAAAACTGTGGGTAGGAATGAAATTGAAACCCACTACAAAGGAATAATAATCAGAAACTCTGCCTGGACCCCTTGATAAAAGGTGTGTTGGGCTAGGATACCTTAACCAAGAGAACAGAGTGGGAAGGGGATTTGCAATCAGGCCATTTCAGGTCATGCTTGCATCACCAGATGTCAATGTGGCACATCATATTGCACCTTCATTTTTGCCCTTACACCACACTGTGTCTGACATCACCTACAGTATGCTTGGCAAATTCAAACAGAATCCAAAATTGCCACAGAATTCCTATGGTTCCCAATACCAGTGGCAGTCCAGATCATTCTATGAAGGGCTCGGTGCATCAATCCATAGCCACACAGAACCACAAGAGGTTTCAGATATCCACAGCCCCGTCCCGTTTCTGTGCTGCATTTGCTATTCCCTCAGAAATTATGACTTTCCACTGTCCACATGATACCATTTAAAGCCCAGAACCATTGGTCGCCCATGCCAGGCTGATGGATTGTCACAGGTAACCATTTATGTCTTTTACCTAAGCCACCGGGGTGAATAAAACCCCTCAGACCCCACCTAATTTGTCACAGAATGTTGGTAAATCCACAAAGTGGTGAATAAGCACAAGCTCCAACCTGAGTGTAACCTACCTTCAATTACTTCAATGCTTCTGCATCCCTCTCATGTCTATTCTCTCCCTAGAAGCCTACGTCTGCTGCCAAACTATGTTCTCTAATACATCTTCCTTTTATGGCCACTGACCTTCCCTCAGCTGTGGTCCAGAGGTCTATACCATCACTCAGGTACCCAAGCAACAGCCCTAACTTCTCCTTGTTGTACCCCTAATAGCTTTAAAACTATAATCTAAAGACCGACCCTCCCAAATGTGACCAATGGCTGACTAACCTGGTCCACACAGTAGCTACCATATACTGGATGTCTGCATTATCAACGTTTCCCCAGATATCCCAACTATGTGTCCAGATGCCTATTAGATACTTCCACTTAGCGGCTTCTAAAACATCTCACACTCTTAATGAAGCTATGATATTATGAATATATATTTGGTCTTCGTACCTTTTTGTGGCATGCAACTAAAATCCCTGGAATCTCACAACTGATGTCTTCATGTATGCTAATGACTCGCTGGTGGCTGGCAGTCCCTGGTGTAAATTCAGGATGAGGGCTGGTCTTGGAAAAGACTAAGGTAGGATCAGAGTTCTGGGAACTTCATCCTAACACCCAAATCTCCAGAAAGAGAAATGGAGCTGACGCTTATCAGCAATGGTGAATGATTAATCAATCATGCCTATATAGTGAAGCTTCCATAAAAAACCCAAAGAACAGAGCTCAGGGAGCTTTCAGGAGGCTGGTACAACCAGGTGGCATATAGAAACTCTGTGCCCCTTCCCCCATGCCTTGCACTATGCAGCTCTTCTTCTTTATCATTTCTAATATCCTTTATAATGGACCAGTAAACATAAATGACTTCGTAAGTTCTGTGACTGGCTCCAGCACATTAATGGAACTTAAGGAAGGGGTCATTGGAAACAGATCTATAGCAGGTCAATCAGAAGCACAGGAAAAACATGCTGGAACTTCTCATTGCTATCAGAGGTTGGGGGGCAGTCTCGTGGGCCTGAGCCCTCAACCTGCAGATCACACTGAAGTTGAATGGAAGGACGCCCACCTGGTGTCCTCTGTAGAACTACTTGGTGTCTGGGGAAGACCCTTCACACACATCTATCTGGTCACAGAATTATTCTGTGTTGACTGTTGTGGGAAAAGAGCAGAGGAAAAACAATTTGGAGTTTTGCTACTAACAATGGTCAGAGCAAAACTCCTGATATCTTCAGTGAATATTTATAGCTAACAGCAAGGTGCTCATCACAGTTGATGCAGCTTCCAATGCTACAGCTGCTAAGACCAAAAACCCTGGGGTCATTCCTCTTTCCTTTTCTTTTTTTTCTTTAAGGGGACGGGAGGGGAGAGCAGGGGAGGGACACTGGTGAACTGCTGCTGGTCATTCTTAAATCCTCTCTTTCAAGCCTTTACCGGTCACATTAGAAAATCTAGTTGCGCCTTTAAAAAACATGAATCCAGAATCCAGCCACATCTCCAAAACCACAACTCTGCTCCATTAGCTCTCATGTCAACTATGGCAGGAGCCTCCACCCTAGTCTTCCTTCCACCTCCTTCAAGTCCACATTCTGTTCTCCACTCTGCAACCACATAGAGCCTCTTAAGACCCAGGTAACGTCACCTCCTCCATCTATTCAGTTTGTCCTCTAAGCATTTGCATATCCTAGTAACAGCTTCTGGGTTAACCTCCACATGTATTTACATCACTGGACATCAATGAAGACACCTCCCCATAACCTGTATCATGGACATAGAGCCCTGGCTTTGGGGTTTCTCCAAGATCCCCAGATCGAAGGACTGGAGAAAAAGCACTTAAGAGTCCCAGGACACCACAGTCTACACAACACGGGGGTGGGAGTCGGGGCCAATGAGGAACTAAAACATGCCCTCCTTGTGTGGGTTCCTTAAGACCTTCTGCAGCATGAGAAGACGTGCAAAAGGCAAGGCCATTCAGGATTGTGTCCATGGTGGGATTCCGTGAACTCAGGCCTCTCTGTAACCTACTTTTAGTCGTGGAACCAAGTGACCTCAGGCTGGCTCTCTAACCTCGTGTTCCG